CGTCGGAGCGGGCGGGCGGGGGGGGGGGGGTGGCGTTCACTTCTGCCGTTATCCACACAGCGTGGCCAATTGCTCTTCTTCGTTTCATCGTCATTCCTGGAAATGCGTTTTCGTGCCAAACCGAAAGTGAAACCGGGGGGGGGGGTGGTGGTGGGGGAGGTTGCGCGCTTCGTGGTTACATGCCCTCGGTTGTGCGACCCGGCCACTTCGTGGTGGGTCCGCTCACCCCGATTGTGTCCAACCTTTTGGAAAATACATTCCTTTTATACGTCCTTGACTGAAGTCTTCTTTTAAGAGCCGATTAATAATAGATCAAGGCTGATGATTGCAAGCTGTGAGCAACCGCTCAAAGTTACAGAGGTATGTACTCATGAATTTGTCAAACAGCCGCTAAACCCCACACACTACGAGTTGCAACAGCGATGAATATTTCTGTGTTTTAATATACGGTATATATTTAAAATACAAATTTTTATATTTGCATGCAGTGCCTTAAACGTCGCGTACGATAGAAGAGAAGGCATTATTTAAAGCTATTTGTAATCGGATAAATTGGCAGCGGTGGGCTGGCTTGCGTGTGTTTTTTGTTGTTGTTAGCGTCGTCTGTGTGACTGAAATGTTTTGCGATAAGCCAGAATTTACAATAATGTGGAGGGGCTGAAAATTAATTCTGGCGACGATCAAGGGATTTCTTTCTCTGCAACGAAATCCAAAGCTAAATTTTTATTGACTTGTTGTTTAAGCGTCGCATTATTCGTGCGTGTACTCTATTTTTGGGCTGCCGGTTAAACAAAAACGCATGCCCGGTTTGCCTTAGCTTGAAGCTATCGAGGCGTTTTTGTTGTTGTTGTTGCAGGGGGCGGGGGGGGGCGGTGATCGTGAGTCGCGTCGTCCGGAAGTTATGGACCCCCGCGAGTTTGAGTGGCTGCGGTTTTTGTAATCTCCACGTTGATCAGCGCGCCTTCAAACGTTTTAATTTCTTCGTGACCATTTCGTGTTTTGTTTGTTGCGGCCATTGTTGTTATATTACTGTACAAATTCATTAAATGTTCTTTGATTTAAGAGGTTTTTTTTAAGTTGTCGCTCTTTGCTTTTATTATAATTTCATCGTCGATGTTTTATTTTTATTATTTTAATTCGCGTATTTGTTGTCGCTGTTGCTGCTCCCATGATTGGTTCGGCATTATATTCAAGGACGGCAACTGCCCCAAGCACTTCCGTGGTCACGTGACTTGACTCGCAATCGGAAGGGTCACGACCTATCAACCCCGCCCGCTTAAGGGTCAAATTAGCCCATTATCATGCATCATCACCGTATATCAACCCTGCTTAAGGGTCAAATGAGCCCATTATCATGCATCATCACCGTAAGACGGGCGTCAATAAAGTAAGTACCACTTTGGGCGCAAAGTCAACACTGATCGTCCTATTGGGAGAGACTGTCCCCCACACCCCCGCCATGGTAATGTGGAATTTCCACCAGTGGGCTCAGGGATGCCACTGGAGATACGAGCGCTTACCAAGCAACTCCGTGTGGAGCGTGGAGACATTGCGCCAGAGGTGTTGGTTCCATGGTGGGGGACAAACGGGGACCTCAGTTTACTTTCAACGTTTACTTAAAGCTGAAATAACACACACACGTCTTGTGCTCTGGGGGTCACAAAAGCAAACACGATTTTTGGTGCACACGCACACACGCACACACGCACACACACAGTGGCCGTGACCCTAACGCATGCACACACGCACGCACACACACAGTCGCCGTGACCCTAACGCACACACAAAAAAGACAGATCCCCCGTGTAGCCTTAACAGACTGTTGGGGTATGTGCTGTTAGCGAGTAGCACCTATGAAGGTCGGCACGGCACACGAGGGGGTGAGTGGCCAACACCACGCCCAGTCGCCTTTGTCTCCCCAGTGGCGATGTTTTTACGCACCACACCAGGTACTCATTTGAGGCCGAGTCGACCTAGGGGAGGCCCAGGACCAGTTCAGATAATCGTCACCGATGTTGGCCGTGAGCGGGAATCGAACTCGGCTCGCCGAGTTTGCTCAGACCACAGTGCACAGAGGGCGAGCGCACGTTAATCCACGGTGTTAGGAACGCATGTGCTTCGTGTTGAGCAGTAGTATTGTTTTTGCACTCACAAGGCATTTGTTTCCCGACCATGAAGTTGCTAAGACGGCAGCGCCCAGAGAGAGCGAGATGACGTTCATCCACGCAACGATCGCGCTGGCTCGTCGTACCGCGTGTGCCTCTCGTTTGCGATGTTCCCGCGCTGGGCGAGGGTTCGCCCGCTCCGCTTTGCGCGTCCTGCGTGTCGCTCACGCGGCGGACGACCGAGGCACGCTCGCTCTGGACCGATCGCCGATAAACCCCGTGCGTTGTGTGTCGCTGGCGTTTCCCCCGGGCACGCTCGAACCGCGTTCTTCTCCGTGCGGCCGAGAGAGGCCTCGGGGCAGTACAGCAAGCGGGATCGTGAAACCGCGTGCGCGTGAGCGCCCCCACCTCCCGAGTGCACGAAACTAAACTATGAAACTGTTTTAATTTAGCAGGTGTGTGTGGCCCCACTGAGCTGTGGTTCTTTTTTTTTCGAAGCGACCTCCTGGCGATCGCAACTGATGGCTGAGCCAGGTGGCTTATCGTCTTCGTCGCGTGGAAATTTCTAGCAGCCGAATCCTCTACACGCGTGGCGATGTCGCTTCCGAATGCGGAGAGAGAAAAAATCCACGCGGCCGCGGGGATAGAGAGAGGCTCAAACTCCAAATATAGAACAAGCGTCAGGGTCGGATTTGAACCCATGATCTCCTGTGTACCGGGCGAGGTAGATAACATTTCCTAGCCACCGTGGTGACGATTCCCTTGCGTGCGTCAGGTTTCTCCGTTACACACCTTGTTTCAAACCTAAAGCGCTCGTTGCGATCAAAACTATCGCAGCAACCCAAATTGATTGTCCCAGCGCCCCGATGCGCGGGGGGGGGGGGGGGGGGGGCGGTTCGTCACAATCTCAGCGAAGTTCGCTGAGATTGTGGCGTCGTGCGCGTGTGTGTGCGCGTGTGTGTGAGGCCACTTGAAGTGGCCTCAAAAGTGCACCGGTCCTGGCACCGGCGCCGTGGTGACGTCACCGTCGCTTCGTGGCGAATGGCGGCTGCGTTGGTGTGCGCGTGTGCGCGTGTTTGTTTAATGGTCCACTCCGCACTCCGCCCCGCGTATTGATCTCATCGATGTCCAACAAGGACGACGCTTGGCGGAGCAATGCAGCAATTAACGGGGACTCCCTCCCGACAATAATGAGGAGCTGATGCGAATTTCGTCTCGTTGGTGAGATTGTTCAGATTTATTTGGCTGCTATAAATGTCCACGCGATTAGTCACTTCGTAGAGCCATCATTCTGTGGCCAGGGTCTCTTCTGAAGAATAACGAATACCTCGGTGGGCTTTATCTGGTAAGATGTAAAAAAATAGTTTTGTTTTGGTGATTGTTTTACCTTTCGTTTGTTGTAACGTTTTGACCCGCGCCCTATTGGACATCTCTGAAAAAGAGCTCTGTCGCTCATCAGATTCCTCCAGTCGAAATAAATATCGTTTTGGGGGTGGGGGGGGGGGGGGGTGCAGCCGGTTTAGATTCGGCATCGTTGGGTGCCAGCGCCCCCGCCAAAATACAAAGATCCCCCGTATAGCCTTAGCAGGCGGTCGGGGGCAACTGCTGCTAGCGAGTAGCACCCACTAGGCCTCGGCAAGGTGAGGTAATTGTACCCTTTTTACCGGGTAAAAGGGTAAAGGTAAAGGTGTCGACATGCCAAGGGGTAAGGGTAAAGGGTAGGGTAAAAGGTAGGCTCGTTGCTTTTTACCTTACCTGCTAGCTAAAGGGTAAAAGGTAGGGTAGAGTGATTGTATTGTGGTAAGGGTAAAGGTAGGGTAAAGGTAGGCTCGTTGTTTTTACACTTTTACCTTACCTTGCCGAGGCCAGGCAGCACCCACGAAGGTGACGCGCGCGGCACGCGAGAGTGGGGGGTGGGTGTCCGTCACCACCCCCTCGTTGCCACCCCCCCCCCCCCCCCCCCGCGTCGTAGCGGCTGCTCGATCTGACGCAGGGCGACCGTGCCGGGCGAGTTGTTTTTTGGCAGAAAATTTTGGTGGAAAACGACGACGGCAAATTGTTTTTCGGTTGCCCCCCCACACCCCCACACCCCCCTCCACCCCCCGCCCCTTTATCGCAGGATATCCTGGAAGACTTTGCCCGTACATGCGCCGGCTAAAAAACAAAACCCGAACCCCGCGCACGCAAAGCTTAATAAATCTGGCCGGATAATGAGAAAACGACGATGGTAAGCTTGCAGAGAGAGGAGGAGACAGGGAGTTGGGGGGGGGGTTGGGGTGGGTGAGGGAGGGAGTCAACACTGTGACACTAATCCAAGATGCAAATCACGGCGTTATCAACGTGGCCAAGTGCCTCGCCCGCTGAGACAAAACGAGCGCGGCGTGAAGGGCCGGTTGCGGGCCGGGATTTATCGGCTTGAAGTTACGGGGGGGGGGGGGGTGGGACACGGTAAACACTCGTCTCGGCAATGACTAACCACCGCCTCCCCCCCCCGGCCGCTCAGAAGTAACGCTCCCGTGTGTCGACTCGTGCCGCTGCGTCTGCGCTCTCTAACGCTCTCGCCCCCCTTGTTGTCATCCTCCCTCCTCCTCCTTGTTCCTGACTCCTTCATTTCTTTTTTTTCAAACGTCCATTCTTTTCAAACATTTCCTGCGTGTGCGTTCCTCACTTCCTCCATCGTGTGGTATCCTCATCCCTCCTCCCCTGGCCCCCTCACACAATTCCTTCCCATAATGCCCTTCGACTGCCGACCCTCCCCCCCCCCCCAATCTACCTTCCCTGCCACCGCTGGTACGACCACTTCCACGGGTTCCCCCCCCCGCCCCCCACTTCCCACCGCCGCCCCCTTTACCACCACGCCACCCTCCCCCCCCCCCCTCACCGTCGGCGCCGCAGTGCGACCAAGACCAGTGCCTCCAGAACAGCAAGCTGATGTTCCAGGCGGCCGCCACTCCGCTGCTGCAGATGGACCACAAGGGGGCCGCGCCGGGCGCCGGCGGCAAGGGAAGCGGCGGCGGCGCCGTCAGGGAGCCGCGCCGCCGCGCTTCCTCGGCGGGCCGCGCCCCCGCGGGGCTGGCGCTCTGCGCCACCGTGGGCTCCATGGAGGAGGAAATGGCCTACGCGCCCGCGGGCGCCGGAAACCCGGCCGATGCCGCGCCGGCCTCGGCCGCCCCGCCCGCCCCATCTGACCCCGCTGCGGCCGCGGCGTCGGCGGCAGGGGGGGCCGACCCGGCGAGGAAGCCGGGGGGGGAGGCGGGTAGCGAGCGCCGGCGCGGGGAGCCGGGCCCCGGCGACGGCGCGTCCGGCCCGCCGGCGTCGCGGAAGGCCGAGCGGCCGGCGAGGACGGCGTCGCGCCGCCTGCGCCTCGAGGAGTCGATGAAGTTCCCGATGATCGACGACGACGACGAGGAGGAGGAGGACGGGGAGGACGGCGAGGAGGGGGATGAGGAGGGGGAGGGGGAGGCGGGGGGGGGGCGGCGAGGCGACGCCGGGGGGGCGGCGGCCCTGCCCCCGGGCCTGGTGGCGATGCCCATGAGCCCCATGGTGGTGCACCACAGCCACACGGTGCACACCCTCAACCCGGCGACACACGAGATGCTGCAGGAGGTGTCCGCCCGTGGGCTCGTCAAGCTCAGCTCGGTGTGACCGGTGGGAGAGGTGGCGAGCGCTCCCTCCGCTCGGCGTGACGTCACGGGAGGGGCGTGACGTCACGGGAGGAGCGTGACGTCACGGGAGGGGCGTGACGTCACGGGAGGGGCGTGACGTCACGGGAGGAGCGTGACGTCACGGGAGGAGCGTGACGTCACGGGAGGAGCGTGACGTCACTCCTCCTGTGTGTGTGCGCGCTCGCCCCCGAACGCCGCTCCCGTGTCCGTCTCCGATGCTGTCGGTGTGTTTGTGAATGTCCCTGTCGTCTCATTTTTTCCGGTCCACTCTTGTCCCATCCCTTGCCCCCCCCCCCCCCCCCCCCCCCCGTACGCTGGTCTCGTTCTCTCTCGCCCCCTTGTCTCTCATCCTTGTTGTCCCTGTGCTCTCCGTGTCCTGCCGTCATTCCGAGCACCCTTCGTTGTCTGCCTCCTCCACCGTTGCTCCGTCCCCTCGTTCGCTCGTACCCCGTGTCTGTCCCTCCCCCTCTCATCTCTTTTTGTTTCGTGGCTTTTCCCATCCTCGGTGTCCTCTCCCGTCGTCCGAATCTCTCTCCCTGCCGTCGTCCTCCCGTCTCATCCCCTCCCCATCCCCTCCTCCTCCTCCTCACCCCTCCTCGTCAGCGTCGTCGTCCCCACACTGGCCACCCCGGTGCGTTCCGCGTCGATGGGCGTGCGAGCGCGCGCGAGAGAGGGAGATTGAAAACGGCCCCGTCGACATGAACACGTGCCGAGGAGAAGGGGTCAAGAGAGATGCTGCTTCTGCGACCCGTGTCTCCGCGGAGGTTAAAAGGGAAAAACCGACGACGATGACGGCGAAGGACAAAAAAAAAATCCCGGCCGCACTTTTCCACTTGAGGACGTGTCCGTGGCAAGCGGACAAAAAAAACGTCTCGGAAATGTTTTATAAACAAGGTGGTCTTCATTGTAGTTCCTCGTACGTGTCGCACAGCTGCTGCTGTTAACAACACACGTGACGGCTGCCTCTACGTTGGATTTTTTTTTTATAGGGCCCAGGCTTGCGATCGGCCGTTTGGTCTCTTCTGTATTAATCGCAGGGAGATCCCCTTTGCTCCCCCGGTGGACACTTGTCGCCACGAACACCACCACACACACTTACACACACACTTACACACAACACGCACACACAAACACGCTTACACACACGCACACACATACATAAAAACACGTTTGCGCACACACGCACACAAACATGCACACACGCACACAAACACACACACGCACACAAACACACACATGCACGCGCACACACGTGCACAAACACACACGCACACACACGCACACACGCACGCACATGCACACACGCACACACACAAACACGCACGCACACACGCGCACACACAAACACGCACGGAGAGAAACCGGACCCCGGTCGACGATTGGTAGCGATGCGTTGTCAAATCCCCCCCCCTCCCCACCCCCCTTCACCCCCCACTACCCCCCCATCTTCCCCCCCCCCGGCCCCACGCGAACTCTCATTCTCTCGCTGAACATTTTCTACGAACGCTTCGACGCGACGGAGAAAACCTGGGGGGGCAAAGAGAAGAGGACTCTGGAGATGTTTGGCGGCAACGGCTCCCTGTTGAAGCAACAACAACAACAAGCAACAACAACAACAACAAAGCTCTCGGACAACTGCACGCCCCGGGGAAAATCCACGAGTCTAGAGGCGCTCGATAGCGCCGACACGGAAAAATGAATCTAACCGTGGATTTTAATATTCGCACAACACCCCCCCCCCACCCCCTCCATCATCGCCCACCCGCACAAAGAGGAAGAGAGAGACGGCACGGACAGATCTACCGAGGGACGCTGCTGACGACGGTGTCCGTGCGGGAGGGTGCTGCCCGCGCTTGCGACGGCGATCGTGGTCATCTGGAGTTGTTCCCCCCCCCCCCACTCGCTCCGTGCTGCCACGGTTGCCGCCACCGCCCGCAAGCATTCGTCCACCCAAGCGGCACACGCGCGCCCTTTGGGAGCGACGGGCGCGACGGGGACCCGCTGGGTCAGTCGGAACGCGTCGACAAAACGCCGGGACGATTGCCACGCCGCCCTTCTTGGGCGTTCTTCGAGATCCCTCGTCGCGTCGTCGGGAACTTTTAGGGAAGACGACGCGACGCCTCCGATGAGAAGTTACAGTCTCGGAACTAATCTCCTTTTTTTTTTCTACTCCGAAGTATCGCTGACGATTCGTTTTTTTTAAATAAGAACACTCCGGTTCGAGTTTCTCGCCGCCGTAGACTCGCGCGGAATGGCTTCCGCCAAGTCGGCGCGCGTATGCTGACCTCACCAGGGTCATGGAGAGCCTCGTCTTGTGAGTGGAGGTGAAAAGGCGTTGAGGCCGTGGGTCAGCGTTGAGGCCGATTGGATCTTCTGCAATTCTGCGGTCCAGCGAGAAATGATTTAAGTCGGTCGATTCAAATGTCATTTCCACCTCCAAGCCAGCAGGGGGCCGTGGCCATCTTGAGTGGAGAGCAACCGCCACCAACCGACGCCTGGGCTCGACGCGTGACGCGGCCTGCCACTGTGACGTCACGCCGCGTCGTGTGGTGGTCACGTGGCCTCGACGGCTGCCCACGTAAATGTTGTCACGCGGCCGTTGGCGGTTGGTGGCGAAATCGACTCCCTGTCGCCGGTTGGAATCCACATCTGATTGTTGTTATTTGCGTTCTTGATTTTTCTATCATCATCATCATTCTGTGAGTTCTTTTGGTAAAGTCACGTAGGTAAAAAATGAAATTAAAATTAGTTAAAATAAAATACTAAAATCACGACGTCGTGATTTTATTATTTTATTTTTATTAATTTTAATTTCATCATCATTCTCTTGGTTCTTTCGGTAAAGTCACGTAGGTAAAAAATGAAATTAAAATTAATAAAAATATTTTTAATAAAAATAATAAAATCACGACGTCGTGATTTTATTATTTTATTAATTTTAATTTAATTTTTTACCTACGTGACTTTACCGAAAGAACTAAGAGTATGAATCCTTGCAGTCACGAAAGCTTCAAATCTAGAATCATCATCATCATTATTATTCCCCCTCGTGGTGAATGGCGAGGCATCGGGGGAAATGTGTTTTTGTCTCAGCCGCCGATGAGTCGACCAAGGTCGATTAGCGAACCGATGCATTTGATTGGTTTACTCAGATTAATCGGCACTGTATATAAATCGTCACCGGTTGCAGCCGCATTCTATTGATTATTATTCGAATAATTGTCATGTTTCATCGCGCGAAAATCTGTCTCGCAAAAGACGACGGGTTGAAAGGGGCGGGGGGGGGGGGGGGGAGAACCCCTCCGCAACTTTGAGCGCCTCGCCCGCACGGAAGCTCAGCGGAGCCCCGTTGCCAAGTCGGGCGTGTGCTTGGCCTACTCTTCCGCAGCGGCCACGCTTCTTCGGATGAACAAAACAGTGTTGGTGTTAGAACCCGCTCCTAACCGCGACGCATTCGTTTCTTACTCTGCCGATTCCGCCTCTGGGTGGACAGAGGTGGTGGAGTTGGTGTGGGGGGGGGGGTCGTGGTGGATAGTGGGGGTGGAGTTAGGGGGGGGGGGTGATTTAAGAATTCCTCCACCCCGATTTCTGGCCACCCGAGCAAGATGATGAAGATGAAGAGACCCATTGGATGAGATTGGACTCGATGCACACACACTCGAAGCCATGAGAAACGTCTTTAAATATCCAGCCCAGAGTGACACCCTCCCGCAAGTGTACATTGACCCCAGACACCTGTACATGAGTGTGTATATATATAATAATAATAACAACAATACTTGGGTTCCGCGTTGGTGCTTGTTCCACGCGTGGCCCGCGGTAAGGTCGGCAACTTTGTCACTAAAACCCATACACGTGTTTGTTGCTGCTGTCGTTTTTGTTTTTGTTGTTATTTACCGTTTTGTTTATCCATTGTAAATTGGCATCGCGCGTGTCGATTTGGAGACATGTACCCGGGATCGCACACCCCACACCGCTCGGCCGCTCGCTCTTTCGTTGCGCTCCCTGCTCTTGCCGTTCGATTTGGCGGCCTCATCGGCGATCCATCGGTCATGTTCGATCCACTGCTGGGTGAAGAGAAAGGACCCCCCCCCTCCCCCCCCCCCCCAGGCCTCTCGCGATGTGAATTAATCCGCTCCGGCCCAGCATCTTCAAGCGAGGCGACTTCAACGCTCCGTCTCTGTCATTCCCCTTGAACCATCGGGTCGCCGTTCCCAATTTCGTACGTGTCCTGGCCCCCTTCTCCCACTTAATTTCTCGACAGTTTAAACGAGATCCTTAAGCCGTGCCAAGGGGCCATACATTGAGTAGGTACGCACAAATCTTTCAAAACCTGACCCCTCTCCCCCTCCCTGTACTCACGCGGACTTTTTACACCCCCCCCCCCTACCTGCGTACGTACGCTTGACGCACCCCCTCCCGAATCTTATAGAACGGCCGATATTTAATCCACGCAGAAACGATCCAGGATCAATAATATTAACGTGTTTCAGCAAACAGATAGTCCACCGCCGGACTAACTCATTTAAAGGCCAATGTTGACAAATTATTATCGAGGCTTTACCCCCCTCCCCCCCCCCCCCCGTTTCCTATGTGTACATTGTCAGTAGACCCCCCATACGCAAGCTACGCATTTGGGTCAGCCCCCCTCCATGCGTACCGACTCAATGGATGCCCCCTAAGTTCTCTCATCCCACGTGGTTCCCTCCCCTCCCCCCCATATTTTGCTATCTCAATGATAATTCCACGCGTCTGTGAAATCTGTACTCTTCAGAAGTGGGGGGGGGGGGGTGGATCGTGGCAGGATGGAATTGGCCAAACATCCCTGCCCCGAATCGGTGGGGGGGGGGCCTCTTGGAAATGTCTTGAGGCTCGCTGAAGTGTTCTTGGATGTACAAAGGACAACGTTGTTATTGTTGTTGTTATTATGGAAGTCTTCTTTTGTGTTGATCCTATGGTGGGAATCATTCGTTATTCATA